ACCCACAGAGGTCCCTTCCAACCCCGACCATTCTGTGATTCTGTGGGCAGGAGGTGCACCAACCCAGCTGCCCCAGCATGTGACTGACCTTGTTCCCAACACCTCATAGTCCCCATACCGGGAGCTTTGGTGGTTCGTGGTTGAATGTGTGGTTTGGGCCTGGGGAAAGAAGCCTGGGAGCCATTTGCTTGTCGTGTTGTACCCGAGGAGATAGCAGTGTGTGTAGCAAACAAAGCCCTTGATTCACAGTGCACCTCTGGTACTGTTTTGCCTGTGTGTTATGCACAGTCTGAGGAGAAGGGACTGCCCTACGTAGGCTGCAAAAGTTGGTGCCTGAGACCTTCAGGGGACGATAAAACACACTTGCAAGAAACTAGGAAGAGTTCTGCACTTCTGCCTCCTTCTGCAGCCAGCCTTTTCCAAGCTTGGTCTGCAGCAGGTAGCCTCCAAGCACGGGGAGCTGCTACTGGACCAGAGCACAGAATTGTAGGGGTAGCTGATGAGCGGCCACTGAACCACGGGACACAAGCCCAGCTCTGACTGCCGCCCAGGCTGTTCCCTGCGGTTCCCTCACTGCCTTCTCTGTTTTGTTTTGGGTTTCCTTTAGGTAGCAGAAAATTACTTCTACGTGCCAGATCTGGGCCAGGTCCCCGAGATTGATGTGCCGTCCTACCTGCCAGACCTGCCTGGCATTGCTGCAGATCTCATGTACAGCGCTGACCTGGGCCCCGGCATCGCGCCGTCCGCCCCTAGCAGTGCTATTCCGGAGCTGCCCACTTTCAACACGGAGTCGGCGGAGCCTTTGCAACCAGGTACTTCCAATCCCTGCTCCCAGACCCCTGCGGAGGAGGAAGGCAGGGATGGCTAGGAGATGGAGACAGGCAGAAAGTCCCTTGGTGGAAAGTTCAAGACAGATGTTGGAGATGACCTCTGGCTTGTGCTTGGGCCTGAGTCAAAGCTGCAGCCGGCGCCGGGGGGGCTCCGGGCCCCTCGCCTCAGAATCACAGAATCACAGAATGGGAGGGGATGGAAGGCGCATATGTG